AACAGTGGCACAATTATTTCTTCTTCTCCCGAGTTTAGCAAGCTTCTATTATCAGTCTCACACACAGTCCGGCAAACAAAACAACCATCACAGATTCTCAAACTGTCCAGTAGTTGTCCTTGAAGCCCGTCTTATGATCTTTCCATTAACCCCTTGATGCTTCTCAGTCCAGTCGACCACGTCAGCTCCTTCTTTCTTCTCCAGAAAACAACCAGATGCTGTTAACAGTTCACAGAGTCCAGGAAAAGGCAAAGAGAAACATGTCCCAAACAAACTGCATTCACAAAACTCACGCCTCTTAAATCCTGTCCGATGGTATTACTGTCTGGGATTCTTTTCCAGAAACATAAGATTTATTTTTCCGTCTCACTCTCGACTTTGAAACCAGCCTGCTATATTAAGAGTTCACTTGGGGAGGAGAGTTAGTTTCGCTTTTGAAGCAGACTGATAAGATAGGTTCGCCGCTGCTTTTCTTCAACCAAATATTTTCATCCTTATTTTCAGCTTAATGGGGCTGTTTCATAAATCAAAGGCTTCAGCTTACTTAGTTGTTATATATTTTAAGCTTATATTGGTTGTTCTCCTCTCCCTCGATAAAGGGTTACTCACGGCTCCGTGCCAAATATGGCTCCTGCTCCGATCCATGCTGGGTGATTTCTTCAGAGGGAAGAAGTCCGGGTTTGCCTCCCATTCTTCTCCTTCTGCTGCTCACCATCTGCTTTAGAGAGACTTCTCCTAGACTCTCCTTCAATCCCTATTTTAAAAGGGGGATCCAGTTTTTCCAGAGAGAGCTCTTCTCTGGAGCTACTGGCAGCACCGCAACAAAAGCCCCATCTGCTAAAATTCCATATCTGAAGGGCTGTAATTTTAAAATGGAGTTCTGAATCCCAGTTTTGGTGCTAGTGCACATCCCTATTTACTACCAGTCACTCAAAACTCCTAACTACCACTGTCCCCTTGATATTAGAATTTCCCATCCAGCTCTCTAAAGCAATGTAAATGATAACACAATCCCTCCATTCAAAAACAGTTTGAAATATATGGTTATTGCTTCTTCTATCCCCCAAATATTCTGAAATCTCTGTATCAACAGCAAGGACCCTCATATTCAGGCCTTAAGGCCAGTAGCTAGACTCTTCTAGACATAATCTCCAGAAATGTCAGTGTGTTTAAAATAGGATAACATATGCGCCAGTAGTAATATTATCAAACATTTATTTAGTTTCTTGTGCAATAAAGGGGGCACAGGAAAATATGTTTTCTTCTCCTTAGCTCATCTCCTTCAGATCACACAATTCTCGCCATGCTAACATGCATAGCTTAGATCGATTCCGCAAACCATGTCGTAAGAACAGGTGTAATGAGACCATGACAGGATGGGCATGTTTTCTTCTCCTTACCTCATCTCCTTCAGATTACCATGTCGTAAGGACAGGTGTAATGAGACCATGACAGGATGGGGTGGCCTGCCGTTACTGAATGAAACATGGATGCATGTGTGCTGTGAATTCATTTATTACAACTCTTGAGTGTCAGAGGTTCTGACCTTATGGTCATAGTGGGAAACAGTTGTGCATGTATAACATCCAGTAACCCAAGGAGTGGATCTCCCTCCAAACCAAAAGTGTCCCAAGTCTCAATGGAGTTTAGGTGAATGTTACAGTGAAGATATGGCATCTACATAGGCAATGTATGTGGATGTCTCAAAATCTCTTTTGCTGGACTGTAAGAATATCCTTTAGGAAAATGTCGCACATTTATCATATCTGTTTGTAAAACCCCTCTGGGAGCCTAAAGGAAGAACATAATCATGAGTGCAAGCTCATTATGATCATTACCTCCTTTCATACCAGCTGAGCACAAAGAAATCAGAAGCAGTACACATAAGGCTGTACATATTTCAGTTTCTCTTTTTCTCTTGCATGCCTTTCTAAAAATGCAAATAGAGGTTAATTTCTTTTCTGTATGTGCACACATGTATGTTTTTTTATCAACAGGACACTGTTTAAAAAAAGAAATTGCTTGATACAAAAATAAATATATCGTTGCATGAACTTTGGGAGAGCAAGATCTTATCAGATATTTAGCAGACACCAAGGCAATCATATATTTGAAAGTTATTTCCAAGTAAGCATGTAGCGTGTTACTGTAATGGTATAATATCATGGGAGTTTTGACCCAATGCAATCAGTTTTCATCACCAATCTCTTGCTATCTAGGAACAAAGCTAAGGCTCACTGCTATAAACTAGCCATAGGCTTGTTGTATAGGCAGGAAAAACATGGTCACCATGACAAGAACTGGAAATGGCACTTCTGGGTCATATGGCACCAGAAGTGAAAGCTTTGCACTATGGATCACGCAGCACTAGCGTCGCATTTGGCACTTTGTAGATCAAGAAACTGGACTGACAGAGAGAGCTCTGGGGCATGTACTTAATGAATGGTAGGTAGGTGAGAGAGATGCAACATGAACCTGCCTAGTAAAAGAGAAAAATGGTTTTAAAACTATTTATGAAGTAAGTTATTCTGCTTCACAGTATTTGGAAAAAAAGGGGGAAGAATTGGAATAAGGGATAGGGTTTCAACTCCACCAGGAATCATAGTGTCCATATGAGGAACTGAAGTCCCATGCAGTTCCAAAGAAACTTGAGTGCACAATCATAGTCTTTCACATCTTAGGCAAAACATTATATTCTATCAGTAGGATGTACAACTGAACAGTGAGTTGGCTACCTGACTAGAGAGCCAGAGGTTGGGAGCCGCCTGAAAAAGGGAAAGGTAACCCACTTCTAAGTACTCTGCCTAGAAAACCCTGGCAAGAATTATCATAAGTTAGAACCAAATTCATTATTATTAAATACCCCACACTTCAGGCTACATGCTTATTTATCTTTGCTAAAATGGAAGAAATGGATGGAAGAAATGGAGTAAAGTCAACATTGTGTGGAAAAAAATGAAGGCAAAAAAAGTATTGTGGCACCTTTAAGATCAGCAAAAGTATTTCAATGTGAGCATGGGGACTGTCAAAATGAATTACACTATCAGTTACAGTAACCTCACAATGTAGGTATACTGTACCTTTATTACTGGAGAAGAAACGAATTAACTGCACAGACCTAGTTACTTTAGACTAGTTACTTCTGACCTCTGATAATGATGATGATAATAGCATCAAGTTGATCAGGACTTGCAGCCACCCTCCCCGTGTTTTCCAGATATACTGTAAAGCATTTAGAAGTGTTTTATCAGTTTGCCCTTCTGGTGGTGCCCTGGTACTGTGTAGGCAGCCCAAAGCGACAGGACACTTCACGCCATTACCGACTTGCAGCCACCCTCCCAGTGTTTTCTAGATATAAAGCATTTAGAAGTGTTTTATCAGTTTGCCCTTCTGGTGGTGCCCTGGTACTGTGTAGGCAGCCCAAAGCGACAGGACACTTCACGCCATTAACCACACAAACACTCTGGATGATCTTGGTTGGTTCCTCTTCCCTGAAACTCAATGGAGATTCGAACTCCTGACCCTTTGACCCAACCAAATCCACCAGCCTTAAACACACCCTTATCCCTAACCACTGTCCTGCCCTCACATTTTGAAAGGGTAAGCAGACTTGAGAAGGCATGAACATGGCAACCAAAATTTTATTCCTGTTAATGAGATTTTTTTTTTGCAAACGCGCTAAGATTTTTTTTAAGGGCAGCAAGAAAGGAGAAGGAAAGGAGACAGGTGGGAAAGGGCCAGCTGTGAAGTGAAAGTGTAGCCTAAAAAACCCTCTACTGAAACGGTATCCTTCCACTTCTCGAGAGCATCCAGGGATGCTCATCCCAGCCTCAATCAAGGCCAGGGTGGGTGTGGCGGATGATTACCTAGCGTTCTTAATCCGCTGGTCTGAATCAGAGCATGCCCGGCGGGGGGGGGGCACGTTCATTAATACACTCCGTGCAATACTCACGAGAGAAAGCAGGCAGGTCCCGAGGTCCCGCCCTGCCGTCTCTCACCTCAAATAACGCCTCCACCCCCACCCCCCGTTAATGCAAGCAGAAGAAGCCGCCTCTGCCGCCGCCTTTTCTCTTTCTCTCTCGACGCCAAAAAGAGCGCCCAGTTTTTCACCCACCGAGAAAAGGGTCGGGAAGACTCAGCGGGGCGCCTGCTTTCCATTCCCCCCCTCCCCCAACGCCGCCGCCAGCCGCTTCAGATCTGGGGCAAGAACAGGTTCAGAGGCGAAGCAGCGCGCTCGCAGCCGAGAGCCCCCTGGAGAGCAGCGCCTGCGCACTACAGACCTCCCGGTATTTCTCCTCTCGCCCCCCCTCCTCACTCAGCCCGCGCCTCATTTCCCTGCTTACTCGAAGCCGCCACAAAGCGCGAGGGGATGTTGCATGAGGGGCTTAGTGGAGCGTAAGCCGCCAGGGGAAGCCCTGTGCCGGCGTCTGGGCCCCAGGGAGGACGGAGACGGAGAGAGAAAGGGAAGGGGAGAGCACCGCGCGGAGCAGCGCCTTCCTTGCTAGCTTCCCGGAGTCCCCCCGCGAACGGCCGCGGCCACCACCACCACTCCGGGTCGCTCCGCGTCCTGTCTTCCTCCCGCCTCAGGTCCCCTCGCCTTGCAGCGCCTCGCCGCCCGCCTGCCTCCTTGCGCGGGGGTTGCCCCTGGTGGCGCCCACCTGGCTGCCCAGGGCAGGAGGGAGCAAGCAACACGTTGCCGGTGGCGGCCGACGGGCGCGTTTGGACGGCGCGGCCGCTCCCTCCGCCCGCCTTCCCTGCCTCGAAGTTGGAACGGCTCGGGGGAAACAACTTTGATCGCTAAACTGAGCCGCCGGTTTGGGAAAGGAAAAGGAACGCTCCTGATCGAGTTCTTCATTTCTTCGTGGGTTTCTTCGTTCCCTCGCTCGCGTTGGTGTCGGCTTGACCCACGAGGGGGTCTCGACCTGGTTGCGTCGTGGGCTGCCGACCCGTCGGGCGCCTGTATGCCCGCAGCGCGCCGCTTTCCGGCCGAGCGCTCAAGGGCTGAGCGCCCGGTAGCCTTGGGTGAAGTCGGGGGATCCCTGGAGCGCCCCTGCCCTGGCTTTTACCACAGGACCGTTGCCCGCAAGCGGGCGCCGGTGGGCTGACCGCGACCCACCTCCGGAGGATGCGAAGCCGGCAAGCCCAAGGCAGTTGTCTCTTTGCAAAGGCGGGTCGCTGGCCGGGAGAGGCGCCTGAAGGTTGCGTGGCGTTGCGTTGGGTTGGAGCAGCCGATGCGTTCCCCACTTGCTACATTCATTCCTCGGAGCGGGGGGTGATGCAACTTTCCAAGGTCTGTTCCAAGAGGGTGAAGCAGGAGAGCAAAGCGAAATCCCACGCTCGGACAAAGGGATTCCTTTATTTTCTTTTTTAATTCTTTTTCTCTGGAAGGATTGTTTTCTGGCTTCCTCTCCAGATCGCGGATGCGGTGGCTGAAGGCAGGAGTCGAACTTAAAACCACTCGAGGAAATAGACAGTTTTATTTATTAATAACCACACGCCGGATCACCTCTCACCTTTCTTCAACTTGGAGGCGTTCAGTTTGGTGGTGGCATGTGTATGTCAGCTCCCATCAGCTTGGGTAGCTCATAAACAAGCTTCTGCAGTGGGCATCCCAGGTATTTTCCTAGACATGCATCTTGTCTGGGTTCCCTTTGGTTTGGCTTGGCTCCTGGCCACTCTGCCTGCCCTTGCCCAGCCAACATTGCCCCAGGCGCCGATGGAAGAAGGCAGCCTTGATGCTGGCAAAAAGGGCAAGGAGTGTGGATCAGGGTGCCAAGGGGCTCCTCCATGGCTTCAGCAAGTGGCAAGCAGACAAGAAGTTGCCTGGCATACAGATCGTTTGGGAAGCAACACTCAGACTTTCTCACCGAGAGGGCACTTAATTAGATCCAAGGCTACGACCAGAGCTTTTGGAGACTGGGCTGTACTGGAGGATTACGGCAGGGACTGGACTGGTGTTTCTGTTGCCCACGATGGAGAAGCAGTGCCCCAGTCTGCTGGGCGTTTGGAAGGAGATGGTGAGAGCCTTTTACATGATCTCCCTTCTGTAGCCTTGAAGGCTGGGAGATATTCTGATCTCAGAGTGGAAGGACAGGAAAGAGGAAACAGGTGGGGCAGAGCAGGGCATACAAGAAACAAGCGGGGTGCTGGTGAACCCCAGGGTGCAGGAAAATCCAGAAAAGCCAAGGTTTTCAAGAGCAGCCGCCTTGTAAGAAACTTCAATAACTCAGCAGACAGCCAAAGAATTCCTGTTCATGTGGTAGAGAAGGATTTGCCCCAGGCAATGCCCTTGAATGGCTCCACGGTTCATGTGGGAGAGAGGGAAGCTGGTGCCCTGAGAAATGGGACGTTCCGGCCAGCCCGCGTCAAGAACCCTTTTTACCCATTAACTGAGGAATCATATGGTGCCTATGCAGTCATGTGCCTATCCATAGTGATTTTTGGTATTGGGATAATGGGCAACATGGCAGTGATGTGTATCGTGTGCCATAACTACTATATGAGAAGCATCTCCAACTCCCTGCTGGCCAACCTAGCCTTTTGGGATTTCCTCATCATTTTTTTCTGCTTGCCTCTGGTGATCTTTCAAGAACTAACCAAGAAGTGGCTGCTAGATGATTTTTCCTGCAAAATTGTACCATATATTGAGGTAAGTGCTATAAATGCAACACAACCTCTATTTCCACAATGACTTTCACATATGGGGATCATGGTTCCATGGCTTTCTTTATTAGAAGTTTGGCGTATCTGCTAACTATTCATTAAAAACTTTTATTGTCCCTTTTCTTGTGCTGCAGAGAAGTTCAGAATATTCTCTTCACTACCATTTAATGTTTCATTTTTACTTTTTTCATCTCTTTTTTGGTAGTGATGGAGTTTTGTCACATAGGCTTGGAGCTGTGAACTATTTCAGACCCTACTTTTTTGATTTGGGTGGGGTTTAATGAAAGACAATTCTTTCTTGCAGTTCTGACTACTTCTGTTGAAAGGACTGACATCTTAAGCTTTTTTTTCTCACTGACCAAGAAGATGACTGTTTTGGTTATAAATTCATGATGTGAATACAAGTCAGTTGATCAAGTAGACTTGATTTTGGCTTTGATCCATAGATTTTTGGGAACATGGGTTTCTCTTCTCTATGCTCAAACACATCATCGTGCATTCAGCAAGACTATCAGTGAATGCACCACTGTATTAGAGTGCATGATTAACCACTTCTGGTTTGGGGCAGTAGAGTTTGGATTAAAATCTTTGTTCCTGACCTTTTCATTTTGATTGAAGAGCAGATTATTGAAGAGCAGATTGACTACCCCTAAGGTAAATCGTGCTTAGAAGTAAAGTTACATTGAAAACAGTGACAATTTTTTCTCGCTTTCAAGTTACATTTTTTTAGGAGTAGTATTCATTGGGCTTAAATCTAAGTATTCTCATCTAATTGGTGGACCAGGCTGCCATAACAAATCATGTTTAAAAGAATGGAAAGATTTTTTCTGTACATATATTTATTGTGACTGTGTCTGTGTGTGTGTTCTAGTTACATGTTCCACTTTTACCGGAATCACTTAAAAAAGGAGAAAATATTCACTTTCTCCTACTATGGTTAAATATAATTAAGTGAGGGATGTACATAGTCAGAAAACAGTAAAAGTGACAGATGCATCATTGAAGTAGTTGGTTCCAATATGTTTTTTCTTTAAATGCCTGAAGTTCCATTTAAATTCTGGCTTTTTGGCATGCGCACAGATTTTCTGCTAGCCAGTCTTCCAGCCAGCTGGCCAGCATCCTGCCATCATTCAGACTGTCTGCTTTATTTATTTACTGGAGGAAAAGAAACTATTAAAGCTGATTGGTGGTGTGGAGTAATTTTGGCAGTTAGTATAACTGAGTGTGTGACAATATGCTTGACAATGTTCATTTAAATAAAAGCAGAGGGGTGAGTGAAGTGGAAGGAGTTTTTTTTTTACTACCCCTAAGGAAGGATGCTCTGTTCTGTTTGTGAGGTAGGAAACAATTCATTAAATTGCATTTAAAATTACATTTACTTCAGAGTGATTGTGACATGAAGATGAGGAGTAAGTGTGAACTTCTCTTCTTTCATCCTAGTTCTCTTTAAGTAGGAGGGACACTGACTTGAAAATATGTTGCCGAGCATATAAATAAATCACTTTGATTTGTATCATTTAAATACTCTCCTTTGGGTGTGATGTGTAACTAGAATGTACCATGAAGAGCAGTTGTGTATGATAAACATATCATTTTTCATCACAGAACCAGAAGCAGTTATATATGTAGAGATGTCATCATAAAAGCTACAAGTGTTATTTTACTCAGGGTTACAGGCAGCATTAAAGTTGATCCTCTGCAAAGATCTTTATATTTTCACTTTCAGAGGGGTAGAAAATCCCTCTAGATATTGATGGACTGCAACTCCCATATCCCTCCTGGGAGTTGTAGTCCAACAACATGCAGAAAACCTTAGGTTGCCCACATTAGGTCTCTTTAAAATATGCATTTGCAGTACTCAGCATGTAAAAACTGGTCTGCAGGATTGGATGAAGGGCTTCTCTGCTTTAGCATCCTGTTTTCAGCAGCGTCCCACCAGTTGTTACTGGGAGTTCCTGTGAAGAACATGACGGCAATTACCGATTTTCCTGGTATCTGATATTCAATGATGGAGGAACATGGGGTTCTGTTTATTCCCTGTAGGTAATTGCTTGTGGCAGAGTCATCCTTCATGAATTTGTCTAATCTACTTCAAACCATTTGAGCTGGTGGCCATCACTGTATCTTAGGCAGTGAACGCCATAAATTATTTCTGGGTTGTGTGAACAAATATTTGGTTTACCTGTTTAAATCTACTACCATTAAATTTCATGACCATAGGTTCTAGCGACCTGAAAGGAGATTATATGTGTATATGTGTGTTACCCTTCTAGCTGGACAGCAGTAAGTAATGCCTAAAGACTCAGGCTCAGAATTGTTCCAGCATGGAAAACAGTTTGTGTATGTACGTGTATGTATATGTGTGCGAGTACACATAATATTTATTTAACTTTTTTGCCACCCATACTATCCAAAGGTCTGAGAAATGTATATAGTGTATATGCATTTGTATGTATTTGTCACTATATACAAATGTATATACTGTAGTGACAAATATATATACATGCTTGTTAATACATGTATATATATTTGTTTCTTCACCTTCTCACTATTCACAATTATGTCTAGTCTTTTGGTTTTAAAAAATTTATTTATTTATTTATTGGATTTTTACCCCGCCCCTCTAGACAATGTCTTCAGATTGACTAAAAAGACTGTTTTCCATGTTCCAGTAATTTTGAGCCTGGTTTACTGCCTTTAGGCATTATTTCCTGTTGTTTAACTAGAATGTTAATAAATCTGGCATAGTTAGTGCAGTGTTGTGAGCAGCTAGTTGAAATATATTGTCCAGGGTTTCCAAGACTACCTCTCAAACATTCATTTTAGCACAGGGGTAGGAAGCCTGTGGCCATTCAGTTATTTTTGGACTCTATCTCCCATCAGCCCCAGTGAGATTAACCAATGGTGAGGCAAGATGGGATTAGTTATTCATCAACATCTGGAGGGCCCCACCCCCTCTGTCTCAAGAGAAATTCAGGTGTGTGTTTTTTTTTAAAAAAAAATCTTGCTCCTAGAAGCTTACGTTCTAATTGTTCACCCAGACATAACCTTCATTTAGTTTAATGGGACTTAGTCCTTGTCAAAGTACATAGGAATGTAAGTGGCATTTGGAATAGAATCAGCAGCTCATTTTCTCCCTAGATGTTCTGCCTTCAGTCTGTGGCAGACTTTATTTTTGGAGCTTGCCAAACACAAGGCAGCCTGGAGTCCTAATTACATCAGAATGATCAAATGATTCCCTGCTGTTTCAATATGGAAAGAGTACACACAGGAAATTGTTCTTATTGTGCAAAAATATAAAATCTGTCCTCTGCTTAATTTGAACAAGGTAAAGCAGGTCTAATTCACCTAAGGTATCTGTTGACTTTTTAAAAAAAATAACAATATAAGGGACAAAAGGTGCTTAAAAAGGTACTTTATTTTCAGGGATAAATTTGATAAAAATGTTGATGAACTTAGCCCAAAAGTCTCCATAAGGAGAATTAACAATGTAGCTGAATTTTGGACACAAAGAACTTTTCAAGGAACAGCATTGTGTTGGTCTTGGATTCCTTGCCCTCACATAGATGTGGACCCAGACTTAATCTTGCTCAAACAGCAGATCTCTTAAGCTCAATAGTTCTTAAGTTGTTAATTTGTCCATTGATTGTTTTGGACCTGTCTAAGCTAGACTGTGTTTGGCTTCAGCTCATATGTGAAAAGAGGTATCATATGATCCACTCTCCTGAACAGTTTACCAATTTTTGCTCTTTTAAGTTTCATTGTTCTCAGTGGGAAAGTTCATGCCTCATTCATAGAACTCTTGTAGGAATGAGTTATGTTCTCAATGCACGAGGAAAATACACCAAATGTTGCCTTATCTGTAGTCGAAACGGCAGCTCTCAGTTTTCTATGATTAAAAGTATTGTGTGAGACTCAGTTTCTGTGTGATGTTTGTGGCATGTTCTGACCAGTCTCACTCTATCAGTAGTATATGGCTATAATGTATATTATTAATCATGTGGGTAAGTACTTAAGCATCTTGGGTGGCATTGATGGGAGGTGAATACTATTGTCAGAAATAGTGACATCACCTTATCTGTCTAGATGTTTAAAACATCTGTGAGTTGGTGATATGACATGAATGCTGGCAAAGAAGTGAAACTTCTCTGATGGGATCACATTCAAATGTACATCTCAATTGACCAGAATCAGTTTCTATAATATAGGACACAGGAGAGGGTCTTCTCTGTCACTGTCCCCAGGTTCTGGAACTCTCCCCCATAGGAAGCTAGGCTGGCCCCATCTTTGCTGTCCTTCCACAAGCAGGCAAAGACTTTTCAGGCAGGCTTTGCCTTAGTGACTGGCTGTCTAAGAGGGTTTTTTAAAAACTGATTGTTGTGCCTTGTTGCTTGTAAATGTGTTTTTAGTATTGGTTCTCTATGCTGGTTTTAATATAATACTTTTTAAATATTTGAATACTTACTGTTTTTAGCTTTTAAATGTTGTCTCTTTAATTATGTAAGCTGCCTTGGGTCCTTTTAAGGAGAAAGGTGGAGTAAAAATATTTTAAATAAATAAATTATAAGAACAACTTTATTAATATTTTTAAAGACTGATAAGAAATTCTTAAATTTGCACATTTTCCTAAGTCTGAGCTGTTTCTGAAGATTTAAACCAAGCTTATCTTGATGTCATTCATACATTATTCATGGCAAATAATGAATTGCATATTAATTGCATACAATTAAATCATGAAGATTCGTTAAAGCCCTTGGGCTGGTGGCACATTTCCAGAATGAATGACTGAACCACACCTAAACTAATCTGTTTACAGTATCTGGGAGTGGTCAGTCCTCTTTCATTTTTTCTGTTAAGTATCTGAACTGTAAATAAAATTGTTGGCTAAAATCTCTTTCAAGACCATAAATCTAATTTTATTTTAATTTCCATGTGGTTTATATAAGGCATAAAGCATTTAAGAAAAAGATACCTATTTCTGGTCAT